CATAAATCCACGCTGACTACTCCCAGTAACCTTCCTTTCCTTCATATGTCTGGAAACGGTAGCCAGGATTAATTGCTCCATCGCCTTCCCAGGGACTGAGGTGAGGCTGACTGGCCTGTAGCTTCCTGGATCCTCCTTCTTCCCCTTTAGAAGGCAGGCATGACATTTGCTCTCTTCCAGTCCTCAGGAACCTCTCCTGATCTCCATGACCTTTCGAACATAATCAGGAGTGGCTTCACAATGACATCAACCAGCTCCCTCAGCACTTGTGGGTGCATCCCACCAGGGCTCAAATTCTACTTATCTCTTCCAACTGCCAAAAATTTTCACATCTTTCTCCATCTACCTTACCATGTTCTAAGCCACCACCACTATTTTAATTTGATGCATAACACTGGGAAGCCTTGAGCTGGCTCATGTTTTTAGTTTCTCCTTGCCTCTATTCCCAGGTCAGTCACAGTACCTAGAAAGTGATCCAAAATTTTTGTTAATGGCCTTCTGGAAGCATCACATGATTGTCGCCATCAAATCCTGCACCACTGCACCATTCCTTTTTGCCTTCAGAACAATTAGTCTTGATTAATCTGAGCTATAGACTTTCCTTTCCCCTTCTTTCTTGCAACTGCCTATTTCCCCTGTATCCATTTGACCAGCAGCAAAAAATTACTCCTCCTGAAGCTGACTTCAGTTTGAATTGAGTTTGAATGCAGGATTACAGGCTAGTCATGAGGACTACTCGTATCTAACCTCGTCACACACTGACAGCAATTCTCAATCCTATTTTGGAATAGGAGACCTGCTACTTCAAAAGTCTATGAAATTCAGCAGTTGTATCTCATCTTTAATCATTCCCAAGTGCTACAATAGCAACATAAATCCTGGTTACACATGCAAAATCTGGAGCCTTGTTCTCACTCCCGCCATGGATGCAATAATCTGTTTAATCACTGACCTTAAATTGAACCATATAAACCACAAGGGCCACGTCTACGTCCCACAATATCCTGCTCTGGAGCAGCAGCAAGATCAGCTGTGGCTGGTATTAATAGCTAGGTAAAATGTGGGGTAACCCAACTTGTATTCTCTCCCCTTGTCTACAAAACAGGGAAAACTAACTCTTTTGTTCTATACAGGGAGCAATACTTGCAGTTTGCTTCCAACTTGCTTAAGATTGGCCATTCTTTTCTCTCAAGTATAAATAGCCATGGAAAAGGTGCAAGTGTACAGTTCTTATAGTCACATAGTCTCAGTTTCCAAGTAAATACAAAAATCTGATCCCTCTGCAAGTGCAAAACCCCTTACAGCTCTTCTCAACAGCAGAACTAAGATTTTTCTAGAACTTTGCTCCCCCTTATCAGTGAATTTATAAATCATAGTAACAAAGTTAGTTCTGTTTGACAGTACTCTCCCTTTTCATTAATAAAGTCAACAAATAGGAACATGACGACATACTGAATTGCTTCCAGATATGAATCATTACTTAAAGCAGCTTTATTAGTAAACAGAGAATACGGAAACAAAATAATAGTAATCCTGCAGTGAATGGTTAAACTAGCTGCAATCCAAGTTTAGCAAAAGGATACAGTAGGACGTAATTTGCTCACCTAAGGCTAACAACTACGGTAATTAACTTCACCCACACCTGAACTGCAATAATCCCATGAAAACACACAGCCTGAAACCAGAGCAAGGGGAACTCTACACAGTATATCTAAAACATTACCGAACTGAAGTCCTGATTCCAGACCCTTCCTTCCACAAAATTTGGAATTTTGCTGAAGACAAGAAAGACAAAGAGCTGAGCCACCTTTAACAATCATGACTGTTATTAGAAGCACTCATTGTGAATCTAGTATTTTAAAATAATGTCATGAATTGAAATAAGGTTGTTGTCATTATATTTTTACTTACTAAAAGAGGAGAGAATCTTGTTCTAAAGAAAGCTTGAAAGCACTGAAGTTGTTCTTTCAAGATCTTAGACTAAATGAAAATTTATGGTTCATGCACTGTCAAAATGACAGCCATTCAACATCGCACTTACTTTCTGTTAGTTTTACTTTCTAACCCAGGCAAAACCTAATACTATTCACTGCACATCCTATTCTTGAATCAGTTAATCATTTAGTATGCCCCTTGCCGTTGTGCCCTGGGGGTTATAGTGGTTATAGCTGAAAGGCTGCACTGTAAATAGATGTATTTCACTAAGCACATAAACTCCATTCTATACATAGGCAACTTTCCGCTAAGACGACAATGCACAAGCACAGACTCTTTGCTGTTTAAAAATACTGAAAAAGTAGCACGCTCACGTGCAGAAGTTGCACAGTCCTTTAAAGTGTCTGTTTATCAGCAGCATTTACAGCTTTTCAGCCGCCATGGACTAAAGGAAGGGGAGCAAAGCGCGGAAAAAGGTTAAAGCAGAGGGAAGACATGTAATAGCAAGTATTGCAGCTGTAGAGCCAGAGCCTTCCATTTCACTGTAATTTCACCAAGCATTTCCATTTCAGTATAATTTTGCAGAAGGTGAGTGTGTGATTTTTGTATTTCCATGTGCTGGAAAAACGTTCTGAGCTTGTATGATCTTACTGATTTTGAAGGTAAATGTAAACTGCCTTGTAATCATTCTTCATTCATGGATATATCTTGGTCCACAGAGGCCTTCTGAGTAAATATGATCACTTTGTAGCAATCATATATGCACTAGACCCTACACAAAGGCATGAAAAGTCATAGATCCTGGTCTAAACTGCTCACAATCTAAAGAGACATCATTAATAGTAGTACAAAGAAACGTTGGTACTTTAGGGGGTATTTTTAATTCATGAAGAATATTGTTTATTTGCAGCCCTCCCACTGCTTGAACTGTGTGAACCAAGTACCTGCCAGTATCTTTACAGCTAAGTTTAAGGCAGGATTTGAAGAAAGCAGGGTTTCAGCTACACAAGAAGATGATTGAATTTGAAGCATGAAAAGCACAGGTAACACGGCTGGAGTAAAAACTATAAAAGATGATTTTAGAAACTGCATTTTATATTCACCCTTTGTCTGACAGATCAAAGATTATAGTGATCGAAAAGGGGCTGGTTATGACTTTTAGACACAGAGACTTACAGAAAAGTTTGAAGCGGGG